GCGAGCAGTGGCACATACGGCTAGCTTCTCGTCGTTCATCCGGTGAAGCCACTCGAGCTTCTCTGCGATAGTCCTCGCTTGGTGGCGATGTTGTGTCAGACTGTTACGTTGTGACGGTGGCTGCACACAGCGGTTGATTATGGGGCGCGACTCGTCGTACACTAGATCTGCGGGGAAATGAGGGACAAGGGCCTTTCAGGGACGGGAGGACGTCGGGAGGCGGGTTAGGCGGAAGGATGTCATCGAGGTCGACGGTTTCAAAATCGTTGTCAAAAATTGGGTACAACTCGGAGGTGCTAGCGGAGCAAGAGGCGAGGTGGCGACAACGGAGCAGGTGGCGATGGCGAAGCAGGAGGGATTACAATAGTAGGATAGCCACGACGCGGTCGTCGATCCATCAAAGTGCGTAACATAGACATTGTTAGGAGGAGTGGCAGGGAGGTGATGGGACGGAAAGGAAAGTGCCCTCTAGGACTCCTTCCTTACCTCGACACACGTTCAGGCAACTCAGACGTGCAGCCCAAGGCGTGATTCAGTTTGGTAGCAGTCAAGCTGTCTTTGAGACGTGCCAACACCGCCTCGCTAGTTGGCGCAGCGTCTCAAGCAGCGACAGGTGGCGATGAATTCACAATGACAGAGTACATCGCATCTTTATTTGGATTTCCCGAATGAGCGACCCCATCTTCATTCGCATATATGTGCAAGGCAGCCCCAAACATGAAACGTAAACGCGGGACCAGGGAACCCAATCATTAGACAGGTCGGGGAACCCTGTCGACGCGAGACACGATGCCACAGGTTCAGCTGATGAGTGGAGTAGCGGACCGAAAACGGTCATGGAAAATGAGGCGCATAGGTGCGAATCATGGAGGTGCGGGTGATCTCCATGAGCAAGCCTATGCTGCGCTCAGCTGCCCTATTTGCTGCGGCGAGTTTGGAAGCGCAAAGGAATGAGTGATGCCCTGCCCTCTGCAGAACTTGGCAAGGTGACGGGAGGTGAATTCACCACCATGGTCGGCGTGCAGACGGAGCACAGGTAGATCACGCTGGGCCCGAGTGGCTACTAACCACGTGATCAAGCACGTCAGCCTTCCGCTCCTAGGGAAATACTGTGGTGTAGCAGGAGAATTTGTCTACAACAACAAGGAATTAGTGCTCCTGTCGGGGCCCATCAACTGGGGAAGGGCCCCTGAGTCCCAATGCAAAGTCTGGAGGGGTGAAATGGCAAGTGACCTAAGACAAGACGAGACCTTCACTGGAAGACCTGACACAAGACGGGAGCGGGGGGGGGGGGTGACCGCGGGAGACCTGAGACAAGACGGGACCTAGCCTTGTGAAGGAGACGTGGGAGTGAGGGGTGACCACGACTGTGGTGCCACATAAGGGACAGGTGGGTGAATGACTGACAGGAACACGACGCAGCGACCTGACCAGACGGAACGACATGACCAGACGCAGACACGCGGAGGAACGCAATGCGCAACATGAAAAGACGTGACGTGGGCTCCCCGGGAAACGTGGAAAGGGGTGCCACGGTGGCAGCGTCCGTGCAGGACGCAAACCTCTTGTGTCCAGGAAACGTGGTGGTGTTACCAAGGTCCTGAAGATGTCCAACACCCACCAAATTCATCGAGAACGAGGGTATGTGAAGAGCGGTGAGGGATATGAGCAGACGGTCGGACATGGAGTATAGTAGTACTGCGAGTGACGACGGTCCACACGTGGGGTCGGGCAAAGCAACTACGACTGGCACTGGAAGGGGTGAGATGGTGGTGCGGTCACGAAAGAAGCAATGGGACGCGTCGGGGTCAAGTCTGAAGGAAAATGACACATTAGCAATTGTTACACATGACCTAACATTAGCAATGGTCGCACATGACCTAGCAACGACACAAGCTCCTATACTAGATACATGCGAAGATCCTAGTCTAGGCACATGCAAGTATAACAATCCAACACCACAAAAGTCGGCAAAGTACAACGGAGAGTAAACATCAGATATGTCCATGCTAAACTCAATATAACTAAGACTCGACAGCACGGGCCAGTACGGAAGAACCGTGTGAAAATCTGGGATCGAGCTCAGAAAAGATGATTCAAATTGAATTGAATTCAATGTCCACCTGGGTACAACACGAGGCTATATATAGGCTCGACACAAGGCCCCGTAACCAGGTGTTACGCGAAGGTTCCGCGGGTCGCGAAGCGTCCCGAACAGATCCTTACCGAATTCGGTAGAAGGCAATTCGGTGGCAACCGAAAAGCCAGAATTCGGTGCACGCAACCTAGCTCGGTGCTATAACTACAATAAAATATAGGAAAGCACCTAGCCTAGGAAATCAAGCAATTCATGCATGCATATGATTATCCTATGCTAGAAATAGCATGATAAAGTAGAGGCAAGCAAGCATAGCTGGCATAAGCCGTCGTACTCTCACAAACCGCCTTCGGTGCATAGCAGACGCAGTAGAGGTTGTCGAGGTGGTGGAAGCAACACACTGTGGAGTGGTGGAGTCGTCCGCAGACAACGTCAGTGCCTGGGCTAGTCAAGATCCAGTATTGGAAGGCCCAGGTGTCACAGGAACGCGGCCCCCAGCTGTCAGGGGCACCACCGTGGCCGACACCTCCCGTACCACCAGGTCCCCACTACTGCGAAGGGGCTAAATGCTGACCGCTAATGAAGCTGATGTACATGTCATTGCGGCTGCAACTATTGTACCTACTTCTGCTACATCTGCCAAGACTGCTGCTGCTGCTGCTACTGCTGTACCCCCATCACACTCCCAGGACCAGCGCCTCCTCCAGCCGGACCTGCAGCTCTAGCACTGCCTCCAGTGTCAGCTACCCCAAAAGTAATAGTAACCCCACCGCCTCCACCTCCACCACCTCCGCCACCTCTGCAACCCTTCCCACACTTCTTACCTCCCTTGCTACGTCGCTGTCCACCAGTGGTAGCAACGACTGCAGTCTCCCCAGGAGCCGAGACTCGGGAGTAGCAAGAGAAGCAGTAAAGGTAGGTAGCTGGGGTAGAGCACACCCCTCAAAGAGGTGAGGGGCCACTCCAGCAATAGAAGAGGCAACAAAGCAAAGGCAGTTCTCGGTCTCATTGACACTAGTCTCAATGAGGTCGACTGCCAGCTTAGTGGGATGCCTAGCGAGGAGAGCGTTGTGTGCAGATGAATGGTGGTTAGGGAGATGCGTCACAATGAAGTAGAGGATGAGGTGGATAGGTGGAGGGTGACTCTCAAGCTGGGCAATGGTGCAGGCAGCACGATACTAGCGTCAAGTCAGTGCAGGTGAGTAATGAGATTAGCAATAGCGGAAAATGCAGCCAAGTTTGGGAAGAGGAAGGGCATGAGGAGTGGGGCAGAGGAAGGAGTGGAATAGCGAGAAACAATAGCATCAAAGCACTACTTTGTAGACGTGACCTGGCTGAAGTGAACGCACTCGACCGTCAAGAAGAGGTGACTAAGAGCAAGGCGAGCAATAGCCTCATGAGGTGCGCTGTGCAGCAAAGGTCTCACGATTCGCTGCAGTAGGCCCAGTAGAAAGAGGGTCAAGACACGGGGGGCAAGCATCTCACCCAAAGTGTGAGCGTACCGAGTGTCACCATCCTGACGTTGGCTCTGGAAATGAAGCTTGGCATGCAACAGCCAAGTGGCAAAGTCAATCGGGCGCCCCTCGGCATCAGAATGTGGAACTCCATCGGACGACATGACTAAGGCTAGAAACGTGACCTCGGAGGAGTCAACTAGTGAAAGACTGCCGGCACTAGGCACATGCGAGCGGCTGGCGGTTGAGGAACGGGTAAACTACAGTCAATGCTATGACAACGGCAGTGTGCAGTAGCCGGGTCTAGAATGGCGGGGAGCTGGCGATGCGAAGCTAGCGTGTAGTGGCGACGGACTTGAGGAAAGTAGGACGTTGCCTGCGGCTAGTATGTATTGGTTAGGAGCTGAAGATGCACACCAGCAGCGGGCATGTAGCAGGTAGCACACTGCTGGCTAGTGCTGGCAGCGTGCTGTCAAACTCATATGCTATAGTCTGTGTATGCTGTAGTGGGGTAGACAATATGGGGTACAACTCTTTTAGGTTTTCCTACTTGTACCCACCTGCTTGCTAGTTCATTCATTCCTCATTTCTTCACATGGTATAGAGCAGGCTCCCTAGTGGGAACGCTTCTTAGGGCCCACCACTGAAATCAATTTTTTTCTTCCTGACCGGAGCGCGAGTCGCCCCTGCCCGAGGCGCACCGTGGGCCGCCCTCTCGTTGCGCCCCCTGCCCTTAGCGGCCTGTCGCGCCTTTCTAGAGGCCCCTCTCACGGCCCCTCGCGCCACCCCTAGCGGCCCCGTCGCCACCCCTAGCGGCCTCGTCGCCGCCCTTCTAGGCCCCTCGCGGCCCCCTCGCGGCCCCATCGCCGCCCCCACCGGCCCCGTCGCCGCCCCTCGAGGCCCCTCGCGGCCCCTTTGCGGCCCCGTCGCCGCCCCTAGCGGCCCCGTCGCCGCCCTTTCGAGGCCCCTCGCGGCCCCCTTTGCGGCCCCGTCGCCGCCCCTATCGGCCCCGTCGCCGCCCTTCGCGGCCCCGTCACCGCCCCTCGCGGCCCCTTTGTGGCCCCGTCGCCACCCCTAGCGGCCCCCTCGCCGCCCTTTGAGGCCCCTCGCGGCCCCTTTCCAGCCCCGTCGCCGCCCCTTACGGCCCCATCGCCGCCCCTTCCGGCCCCTTCACCACCGAGCCGCCGAGCTGCCACGCAGCCGCACCGCCGAGCCGCCGAGCCGCCGAACCGCCGAGCCGCCGAGCCGCCAAACCACCAAACCGCCGAGCCGCCAAGCAGCCAAGCCGCCAAGCCGCCGAGGCCGCCGTCGAGCCGCCACTACCGAGCCGCTGCTGCCGAGCCACAGCCAAGCCGCTTCCACCGCGATTGCAGCCCTGTTCCTACCGGCGCGTCCCGGCCCTACCCACCCGGACTGGTGAGAGCACTCCCTGCTAGACCACTGCTGTCATGGCTACCCCCACTGTCCTTACCTTTGATGCTGAGGGTCGTGCTGTTGATTTCGAGGTCTGGGTCAATGACCTTCAGCTCTTCCTACAGTGCGATAAGGCAGACGGACTCTCCCTGTTTGATCTCACCTCTGGTGCCTCTCCTGCCCCGCCTGCTGATGCTGACAGCACTATTTGCTCACAGTGGGCCACACGCGATGTTGCTGCCCGTCTTGTAGTGCGTCACCACTTACCGACCGCTGAGCGTGCGCACTTTAGTCAGTACAAGAGTGCTCAGACCTTTTACGATGCTGTAGTTGCACGCTACTCTTCCCCTGCCACTGCTGCCCTTAGCCGCCTCATGCTGCCGTACCTGCTCCCTGACCTCGCCGCCTTTCCCACAGTCGCTGACCTCATTACGCACCTTTGCACTAGTGACACCCGCTACCGCGCTGCGCTTCCTGCTGAGTTCTGTGCCAAGAACCCTCCCCCCATGTATATCACCCTCTACTACATAGTCACCCGGCTTCATGACTCCCTTCGCTTAGTCAGGGACCACTTCCTCTTAGTTTGCCCCACCACACTCACCGTTGACCTCCTCGAGCAGCGCCTCCTGGCAGCAGAGAAGAGCATAGTCGCCGTAGGAGCCTCTCGTGGTGACCCTCGTACCCCCGTCTTTGAGGGGTGTTCTCCCTCCCCCCTCTTGCCCTCTATTGCTTCTGCTGCTGCAGCCGACCTCGTTGGTTTTGAGTCGGTCGGAGCTGCGTCTGCCCCTAGTGGGAGACGCAGCATCGGCAGGGGCAAGGGGGGCAAGGGCGCTGGAGGGGCTGGCGGGGGCGGTGGAGGTGGTGGTGGAGGCAGTGGAGGGGGTGGGGGTGGTGGTGGGAGTGGTGGCGGGGGTGGAGGTGTCGGTGGCACCAGTGGAGGCGGTGGAGGCGGCGGCGGTGGCGGTGGGAGCGGAGGCGGCGGAGGTGGCGGCGGCGGCGCCGGCAGCGGTGGAGCTGGTCGCGGCTCTGCGCAGAGGAGTGGCTCCGGTGGTGGTCCGCGCTAGCTGCAGCAGCGCACTCGTGAGACCCCATCCCCCCAGCAGCTTCGTGAGTGGTAAGCTGGGCGTCAGCGAGGTGGGGATACTGGTCCCTGTACCTACGTCCTTCGTACCGGCGACCGCGCTGGTGAGCGGTGCAGGGGCTCGCACTCCACCCAGCGCTGCTTTGGCCGCCTGACGGACACTTGGCGTCACCAGTTCCCTGACGCCACTGAGATCCCTCGCTGGGGAGAGCTGTCTAAGGCGCGGGTTGCTATCTTCGATCTTGATTATGATGCTATTCTTACTGCCATGTATGTTGTGTCTACTAGTCATGAGGGTGACTGTTACCTGTGTGTTCCGCCTGACCCGGGCATTGAGGCTGCTGCTCTAGGTGCTGGTGAGGCTGCTGCTCTAGGTGCTAGTGCGTCTGCTGCCCCAGGTGCTGGTGAGTCTGCTCTCTAAGGTACCACGTCAGCTCAGGCCTTACACACCTTCACCCTTGACTCGGGTGCTTCCCGCTCCTTCTTTCGAGACCGCACCACGCTTACGCCGCTTAGTCGGCCAGTTGCGGTCTCCCTGGCGGACCCCTCAGAAGGTCCTGTCCTTGCTCGCTTCTCCACTGTCTTACCGTGTCCGGCAGCCCCCTCTGGCACCCTGTCAGGTCTCTACCTCCCCTCGTTCTCTACGAACTTGGTGAGTGGTGCTGACCTACAGGATGGGGGGGTTAACCAGTTCACTCCTGCGAGTCAGCGGGTGCTGAGAGTACCACTCACGGACCTCCTGGGGCGACGGAGTGTGCTGCTGGCTCTGGCCACCGCTAGCGCCTCCACGACCACCACCACCGCCGCCACCTCCTCGACCACCCCAACCCCTGCCGCCGTCGCGTCCACCGCCACCCCCACCACCGCCTCCGCCCCTGCCACCTCCCCCGTCGCTGCCGCCACCACCCCCACCGCTGCCACTAGCCCCTCCAGTCGCGCCACCACCCCCACCGCCGCCACCGCCCCCACCACCGCCTCCCCTGCTGTCACCGCCACCACCCTTGCCCCCTTTGCCCTTGCCGCTGCGGCGCCCGCTCGAAGCAGACGCAGTCCCGACCTTCTCAGCACCAAGGAGGTCGATAGCAGCAGCAGAGGCGAGAGAGGGAAGAAGGGGGGAAGGAGAACACCCCTCAAAGAACGGGGTACAGGGGGTCGCCACGAGAGGCACCTACAGCGACTATGCTAGCCTCAGCTGCAAAGAGTTCCTTCTAGAGGAGGGCAATGGTGAGCTCTGTGGGGCAGCGAGCTAGGAAGTGGTCCCTGACTGAGCGCAGAGTGTCAGGGAGGCGGGTGACTAGGTGGTAGAGAGTGAGCCAGAGTGGGGGTGGGTTCTTGGCAAGGAACTCATCAGGCATGGCGGCGCAGAAGCGAGCCTCACTAGTGCGGAGGTGCGTAATGAGGGCAGCGACTGTGTGGAAAGAGGCTAAGTCGGGGAACAGGTAGGGAAGAGATAGACGGCCTAGTGCAGCAGAGGCCGGTGAGGTTTAGCGGGCAACGACAGCAGTGTACAGTGCCTGTGCAGTCTTGTGCTGCCCAAAGTGCTCGCACTCATCTATCGGCAGGGAGTTGCGAATAGCGAAGCGAGCGTGGGCATCACGAGTCTGCCACTGTGAGCGGGCAGTGCTGTTAGTAGTAGCAGCAGGAGCAGGAGCTTGGCCTAGGGCGTGATCGTACAATGAGATGTCCTCCTTGGCAGTGAGCTGTAGGAAGAGGTGTAGGTCATCTAGCCAGGTTTCGAACTTCACTGGGCGGCCCTCAGCATCGAAAGCCAGTACAAGAGGACTAGCCATCGCAGTAGTAGGAGTAATAGCAGTAGGGGAACCCCAAAGACAGTAGGCAGTGCGACTCAGGTAGGGCGGCTCGGTCCAGTACGGGCGGCGCGGCTCGGTTCAGGTAGGGCGGCGCGGCTCGGAAAGGGCGGCGCGGCTAGGTTCGGGCGGCGCGGCTCGGTTTGGGCTGGGCGGCTCGGTTCGGGCGGCTCGGTTCGGGCGGCTCGGTTCGGGCGACTCGGTTCGGGCGGCTCGGTTCGGGCTGGGCGGCTCGGTTCGAGCGGCTCGGTTCTGGCAGGGTGGCTCGGTTCGGGCTGCTCGGGTCGGGCCGTTCAATCTGAGGGGGGGGGGGGGGCGTTCGGGGCCTCTAGGGGCGAGCGCGGGGCCGTAAGGGGCCGCTAAGGGCGAGCGCGGGGCCGATCGGGGCCTCTAGGGGCGAGTGCGGGGCCGTAAGGGGCCGCTAAGGGCGAGCGCGGGGCCGATCGGGGCCTCTAGGGGCGAGCGTGGGGTCGTAAGGGGCCGCTAAGGGCGAGCGCGAGGCCGTTCAGGGCCTCTAGGGGCGAGCGTGGGGCCGTAAGGGGCCGCTAAGGGCGAGCCCGAGGCCGTTCGGGTCCTCTAGGGGCGACGCGCGAGTCGCTAAGGGGCGGGTCGCGGGTTGCGGGGCCTTAGAGGGCCGTGAAACCGAGGCGCCCTAAGGCACAGATAGGTAGGTAGGTAGTGGTGGGCCCTGAAAAATCGGTCCTAGGAAGGACCTGCTCTGATACCATGTTCAAATGAATGAACAGGAATGATTGGACTAACAGTGAAATCAGTACAAGTACCTAACCCTACAATTGTTTACCCCCTATAGGCTATACAATCTGGATGCGCCGCCCACCTCGCTTCACTTGGTCGTTTCCTCCTGGTACCCAGTGGAGCCTCCAGCGGCCAGTCTACGGTCTCCGCCAGGCGCCCCCTGAGTGGCACGACACACTGAGGACTACACTTGCGGCAATTGGGTTTGCTCCTTCTACACCTGACCTGTCGCTATTTCTGCGCACCGACACCTCTCTGCCGCCGTTCTACATCCTCGTGTACGTTGACGACTTGGTCTTTGCCACTGCTGACACTGTTGGACTCACCCACGTGAAGTCCAAGCTGCAGAAGAGACACACGTGCACAGACCTGGGTGAACTGCGCAGCTACCTTGGCTTGCAGATCACTCGGGACAGAGCACAGCGCACCATTACCCCGACTCAGTCACACATGGTGCAGCAGGTCCTTCAGCGCTTCGACTTCACGTACTCCTCGCCTCAGGCCACTCCTCTGTCTACTCGCCACTCGCTCTCAGCTCTGCCTTCGGATGAGTCCGTAGAGCCGAGTGGCCCGTACCCAGAGCTTGTTGGCTGCCTCATGTACCTGATGACCTGCACACGACCTGACCTTGCATACCCTCTTAGCATCTTGGCACGCTATGTTGCTCCTAGGAGACACCGACCAGAGCACATAGCTGCAGCGAAGAGGGTGTTGCGCTACTTGTGTAGTACGTCGAGCATGGGGCTAGTGCTTGGAGGGCGACGTTCAGTGGTCCTCACAGGTCACGCAGACGCTTCTGTCAGAATATTATAGCTTATGCTTTTGTGTAGGCTGTAGTGGGGTAGCCCATATGGGGTACAACCCAATTAGGGTTAGTTCTTGTACCGAACTCTTTCATAGTGCATTCATCCTCGTTCTAGTTTTCTCATGGTATCGAGCAGGTTCCCTCGTGGGAACTGTTCCTAGGGCCCACCAATTCGATTTTTTTTTCCTGCACGGAGCGCGCTCAGTTCCTGCTCGAGTCGCGCTCCCCTCTCTCGACCCTCTCGCGCCGCCTTAGCGGCCTCGTCGCATCGCGCTAGAGGCCTTGTCGCGTCGCCCTCGCGGCCCCATCCCGCCGCCGCCCTAGCGGCCGCGTCCCGCCGCCCTAGCGGCCCCGATCCGCTGCCCTAGTGGCCACGTCGCCTACTCCTGCGGCCCCGGCGCCGCCCTTCCCGGCCCCGATCCGCCGCCCTAGCGACCCCATCGCCTACCCCGCGGCCTCGGCGCTGCCCTTCCCGGCCCCGACGACGCCCTTCCCGGCCCAGCCATGCCGCATCTTGCCCCGTCGCCTAGCCCTACGACCCCGGCGCCGCCCTTCCCGGCCCCGACGCCGCCCTTCCCGGCCCCGATCCGCCGCTCTGCGGCCCCGTCGCCTACCCCGCGGCCCCGGCGCCACCCTTTCTCGGCCCCGACGCCGCCCTTCCCAACCCGGCCCAGCCTCTGCTGGCCCCGTCGCCTACCTTGCGGCCCCGGCGCCGCCCTTTCCCGGCCCCGACGACGCCCTTCCCGACCCGGCCCCGCCTCTGCTGGCCCTGTCGCCTACCTTTGTGGCCCCGACACCGCCCTTCTCGGCCCCGGCACTGCCCTTTTCAACCCTGGCCCAGCCCCTGCTGGCCCTGTTGCCCGCCCTTCCCGGCCCCGGCCCCGCCTTCACGCGGCCCCGCCGAGCTACTGCCGAGCCGCGAGCGCCACCCGAGCAGCCCGAGCCGCCGCGCCACCTGAGCTGCCTAAGCCGCCGTACCGCCGAGCCGCCCAAGCCGCCGAGTCGCCGGGCCGCAGTTGCCGCCGAGCCGCCCGAGCCGCCTGAGCCGCCGAGCTGCAGTTCCTGCCGAGCCGCCTAGCCGCCCGAGCCGCCCTATCCGGTAAGAGCAGCGCCTCTGTCACTGCACTGCCCTTACCCCACTGTTCGCGCTACTAGTCTACTGCTGTCATGGCTACCCCTAGTGTCCTCGCTTTTGACGCTGAGGGTCGGGCCATTGACTTTGACGTCTGGGTAGATGACCTGCAGCTTTTCCTACAGTGCGATAGAGCAGACAGTCTCTCCCTCTTTGACCTCACCTCTGGTGCCTCTCCTGCCCCTGCGGCTGATGCTGACGCCTCTTTTCACTCACAGTGGGCCACGCGCGATGCTGCTGCACGTCTTGCTGTGCGTCGCCACCTGCCTACCTCTGAGCGTGCGCACTTTAGCCAGTACAAGAGTGCTCAGACCCTGTACGACGCTGTAGTTGCACACTACTCCTCCCCTGCCACTGCTGCAGTGAGCCGCCTCATGCTACCATACCTCTTCCCTAACCTTGCTGCCTTTCCCACAGTCGCTGACCTCATTACGCACCTCCGCACTAGTGACACTCGCTACCGCGCTGCGCTTCCTGCTGAGTTCTGCGCCAAGAACCCCCCCCCCCCCCTTGTACATCACTCTCTACTACATCGTCACCCGCCTCCCTGACTCCCTTCGCGTAGTTAGGGACCACTTCCTCTCAGTTTGCCCCACCACTCTCACCGTTGACCTCCTCGAGAAGGCCCTCCTAGAAGCGGAGAAGAGCATAGTCACTGTAGGAGCCTCTCGTGGTGACCCTCGCACCCCCATCTCTGAGGGGTGTTCCCCCTCCCCCCTTTTGCCCTCTGGTGCGGCCGACCTCGTTGGGCTTGAGTCGGTCGGTGCGGCGTCTACACCTAGCGGGAGACGCCGCCATGGCAAGGGCAAGGGGGGCAGGGGCGCTGGAGGAGCTAGCGGGGGCGGTGGAGGCGGCGGTGGAGGCGCCGGAGTGAGTGGGGGTGGCGGTGGGGGTGGTGGCGGGGGTGGAGGTGTCGGTGG